ATGTACAGAGTACAGCAAGGCCCATGTATGGAGTACAGCAAGGCCCATGTACGCACATACAGCACGATACATATATATCTCTTTTCATACATACAGCTGTAGTACGATAAATACTGGGGTAAATGTCATGTAAAGTACAACATGGAGATCTCTATTTACCTCCACAAGTGAAGACAATGTACAGTAAATCCCATGTACATGCAGAGTATGGCATACTAGTAGTACCGATATCCCTTTCCGAATGACACACATATTTACAATTACACATTGATATGTCAACTCAGTAACATGAATATAATTAATCCTGGGGGTATTCCCCTAGCGTGTACATAAACTTGCAAGACACACAGAAAGTCCCATGTGTTCAATACAAATTACCGACTGAACTATTCAGTTCTCTGAATGTAACAGAATGCATTATAAAACTAAAAACTATTATAAAACTAATAATTAAAACTGAACATGAATTCAACAATCGAATCATATAAGGAGTTGACCATTAAAAACTTGGGGGATCGGAAAATTTTGATAACAAAACTTCCACAGCGAAATCTTTTGAAAACAAAATTCTACAGAAAAAATTACAGAAAAAACAACTCACACATATATGTATTCCATACATACATGTAAAACGCAAAAAAAGGTTACAGCAACATTTTCATCTCACCCCACCCATTTCTAATCAATTTTTTTTCTACATATGCAGCTGGGTATACCCATAAGATATGTAATCACTTATTACCAGACAGGAAAGCAGCTTCCACCATAGATGCTATGCCTCTTGTTTTCTCATCAAGAACAAACAATAACAGCTTAGCAGATTGCTTGGCTTGTTCCTCAATCTCTATCAGTTCTGAACTCCATTCATGCACTTGCTGTAAAAAGACAACATAAAGCATAAATGAATTGTTAACCTTTTCACCACCAGTTCCCTGTTTTTCATCAGAAATTCACAAAATCGTTCTGTTTAAAGTGTGTACTTTCCTTCAGAAGATTGGGACAAAAATAGCCATATTGTTTTATTAAAAAACTGAAAATTGACTCAAATTTTGTCTGTTGGCACCAAATATAAGAAAAAAGTGCAGACAAATTGGGACGAGAAAGTCTGGTGGTGAAAAGGTTAAATCAATTTTCATTAACACTTTAATAACTCATTGAGAAATTGATAGAAAAAAGGATTATTAAAAAAAAATCAAACAAAAAATATGAGGTATTTAAAAAAAATTCTTACTGACATACTGTGCTAGATGATTAATTAAATTTCCAATATTAAAAAAGAACACTAAATTGTTCTTCTTTTGTGCGCTTGTCAAATGTATGTCAGTGTAACTGCAACACTCCATAGAACAATTAAAATTAATCTTTAATATATATTACAAAATAGGACAACAACTTATAAATCTATTTCTGTTTAACCATTCATTATTAACTTATGCTTGTTACTCACCGGGTTGTAAAATGTAATTCCATATTGTTTTAAGATTGGAATAGCTACGTCCTTCCTCCATGTTGTGGGATTGCATGCTCCTCCAAGGAACACTGAAAACAAAACATAGTAAAAACATCTTAACCTTGCCCATATATTTACATGTATGTTTTACAATTCATGTTTTCACAGATGATCTAAGGATGGTCATGGCTAGTTAAGTTTACTGCACATTCAAAATAAGATTAAAAAACTTAGTTTTTGAATTATGAACATCAGTTGTTGTATTTTGAATACAGTATTATGAAATTCAAAATGGCCACCAACGTGGAGTTTACAGGGAAACCACAGTAACTTTACTTGTTATTTTTTCTTTTATTTATTTATTTGATGAAAATTTTATGTTCAGCCTTCTTAGTACTTTTAAATTGTCAGCACTAGTTTAACCTTTTCACCACCAGTTCCCTCTATTCATCACAAATTCAAAACAAGTCCTGTTTATAGTCTGCACTTTCTTTCAGAAGATTGGGACAAAAATAGCCAATTTATTTTGGTGAAAAAACGGGAAATTGTGTCTGTTGGATCCAAAATTAAGGTTCATTTCCAGAAATATTGAGGAATATAAGAAAAAAGTGCAGAAAACCTTTACCATTTGAATACACCAAGACCTAATAAAAATGTATGCAAAAATATGGGAAAAAATATGCAGGTAACTATTTGCTGATATTTCTCAAAATGATCTAAAGTTTGTTGATCAATTCTGACAAAGGACCTCAGTGTTTTTTGTTAAATTAACTGTAAACTGTTTCCATTTTGGACAAAATGACCTAAGCTAATTTTGAGACAGCTGAAACTTGGCGATATTATTGTGTTACAGAGAAACGTCTGCGATGAATAAATATGGGAGGGTCGTCGCCTGCGCATGCACAGGAAACGAGTCCCAAGCAACGATAACAAAAATGCAAAGGCTCATGGGTAGATGCTTGTTTGTAAAAAATAACACGCGATATCCATGTGACACATGTGCAGGTGACGACTCCCTTGCTTTAAATTAGAATATTTACCGTCAAAGTTCAAGATAAGAGGACTTTTAGCAGCTCCATTGAGATGACAACTACTTTTAGTCTTCGTTCGTTGTACATTAGGATTTACATGTGTTTGTCTACTGTAAAATTAACAATATGAATTCTTAGTACAAATACTCAACAATTTGGTGAACTAAACTATAAAGTTTGTGAAAGTTTTCAACTAAGTTGATAAAAAAACAGTTAAATTTGTTGTCATTACATACACATGTGCTTAACCGATAAATGTTGTTGCTGCTCAAATTAGGATTAATTTGTTTTAAATTTTCGGTTATTTTCACTGAATTCTTTTTCAAAAATTATCGTGACATTTCATGCTCAAAATAATTATATTTAAAATATTTACAGTAAATGCAAACTTTTGTTCAAGTATGCTTCTCATTGAGATGAACCTTACCAGAACAAAAAGTCTAAGACTGACAAAAATAGAAAGAAACAGTTATTTACAGGGTACATATACCATACTTCCCCGAGTATAAGCCAAGGGGCCTGAACATGTAAAATCGGGAAAATTAGGGGGTGGGCTTATACTCAAGGACCACTTCAGAAAAGATAATTTTTTGAGGGGTTTAAAATTGTAACCATCTTCCCAAGTACGAAAAATTATTCAAATTACATTTTTCGTTCACAGCACCAGTCTCTTTGATTTCAACGACACTTTTACAATGAAGAAACAAACATGTTCATAAAAATACACACATTTTATTACAATATGGTTTACATACCGTCTGAATTTATGGTGCAAAAATGGGTAAGGACTGTGGGAAACAGTCGAAGGCAAGATCTCATTATCTTTGTTGTGGAATGTTTTCGATCGTACGCAAACTCTCGATACAAAGCAATTTACGCAATGGTGTTTTGCATCATGACTTGACCTGAACAACTTCCTTTGACCTAACAGGTCATGTCTTTCGTTAACCAATCAAAATGTTGTGTTGTACAGACGAAGTTTTCCGATTATTGATGAAGTAATTTTTTCAACGCAATGCGGAAGTGAATTACCGCAATGTTAAAATGCGATCTGATTTCGACAAAAAACGGTGATTTTTTTCCCTAAAGCTGTTGATTAGCAATTTTCGAAACGTGAACTGAGGGTGGAAGAAGTATTTAAACTTTTCACAGTCGCCAGTCATGTCGAAGAATAGTTTACTCGATCACATCCCATTCTCAATGGACACGATTATTCGGGAAAAGTAAAACAATGTTCAATGACCAGGTTTAACGACTTGACGATCACATTTTTGGCGTTTCTAAAACTACTACTCAAAAGAAATATGGATTACTTCAGTATTGCAACATCAGGGTTCATCTTGAGTAAATAACAGAATAGAAAATGTGCGAACCATGTTCCGTACGTTCGCCGGCCTGAAATTGTTGCTTGTTTTCTCGTGAAAGCAGGAACCAAACTATTGTACCACTCACGATTATTATGCTATGAAATACACTTTTTATACGCATATTTTAATAAATGTCGTTGATGCCCGGTAAAAACACCATGGGCCTATACTCGGGGATGCCCTCAACTTGTTAAATGTCTAAATACAGAGGGGTGGGCTTATACTCAGGGAGGGGCTTATATGCTCGGGGAAGTACGGTATGTGCACATATCAAAAACGCTTATTCAAGTAGGTTTAAGTTGAATATTGAAGTTCTACAGTTGTCACACCATGTTGAGTCTATTATGGATGTCATGGAAACAAAAAATATGTAAAATACATATTCCTATTCTACTAAACGGTTGTGTAGCTTTAAATTTTGAAATCTGAAGTAAAACTGTGAATGTACATGTAAGCTAATATGTATGAACTATAGTTCCACTTACCCATGAACACATCCCATTTTATGTGATCTGTAATGAGAATATCAAAAAAGAAAGAGATAAAATATTCCATTAAAGAAAGAAAAATAAGAATTTAAAAAAAAATAACTAGTGCAAAGAAGGCAAAATGATACCCAATTAGTTTGCTTTCCTTCTTTTCAAAAACTACATTGAACAGTAATTGTGTTAGTTAGCCCATGGTTCACCTATATCATACATACAACAAAATCATACCATAACCATCAAATAAATCACCATCAAATCTGTATTAGAAGCTGCATCCCTAATAGAAGTCTTACTCATATTTTAATGAATGAGAACCAAAAATTCATCGCTTCTCATATGTGTAGATGCTTTAATTAATTGAAGCTGCACCCCTTGTACCATTTTAATAGAAGCTGCAGCTTTTAATACAGATTTTACAGTATTTGTGTCAGCAAACCCAAGATTGTCGTGAGCTAGACTGTTATCTATTATGTATAGCTATCTCAGGCAGGATTGCAATGGGTTACCTTATGACACGTTGCAATAGGTGATTTTCCGTTCAACTGCGAGATCTCGCGAGATACGTGAAAAACGCATGTCGATTGTCTGCCACAAAAATCAAACGAATTTCTTTATTTCGTAGCTTACATCAACCAGCCAATCTTCGACAGAGAAATATTGCTTTTGAATACCCTCACTTAATCGAAATTGTCTATCATCAAATGTGTACAGCATGGAAATATCCCCAAAATATTTTTGCTTTTGTCGAATCCCACGCGATGTTTGACGCCACTACGGTGTGATGACCTTTGTTTGTCCTGTTTTTACATTCTATTTCACGCATAACACGTGATTCTCGCAGTGAACGGGGAAATGGTCTATTGTGTTAGCCCTGATTTAATGTGGTGTGCTGAAGTGGTACAGTACCCAAACCAATTTACATTATATTATATATTAGGGTGGAGGCTTGCAACACAAGCAAATTGAACATTTTGGTAACATATATGCCTTCCCATATGAATAAAGTTTATATTGAAGTGACTCACACTCTTGACAACATTTTATAATCGGTAATTTCAAGTTCAACACCAACTAATATATTTTATATATATCGAAAGTGCATATTTTTATAAATAAACCCTGTTTTTATCACTTACTTTACTGTATACTGACACTCTCTTAACTCTTTCACTAAAACGCAAAACACTCCAAATGTGAGGGACGTTTTACGCTTGTTTTCTGAAGCATGACACTGCTTGACAGACTCCAGTAAATGACGTACTGCAAGAGACAGACTGCCATTATATGCAAAACACATGCATGCAAATGACGTTTCCCACATTTAGCAATTTCTGATGTTCATTTTCACAATAATTAAATTTTCAGAAATGTTCCATATTACTAGTATTCATCTGAACATCTAGAGAATATACATCATGTATTAAGATATCACAAGTCATTTTGGTTAGTGCATGTATCACATGCTTCAAAATTAATGAAATTTTCTTTAACACAGTACCAGCTGACGTAATTTTATCCCGTTCATGTTTGCTGTGGAGGTTTTCCGCAGGTTAAATGTTAATAAAAAAACTCTGAAATTTGTTTGGGACCAAATTGTCTGGTAAGTGTAAACAGCATATAATTATGAAGTCCTATACATTATAAGCAAAGTAACGTTTAAACTAGAGCACTACTAGTGAAAAGTTGTACACTTTGGAAATAAAATATAGTAATACACTTGTTTCTTCATTAATATATTAAATGGGAAAACATGCTGGTTCACACTACTACATTGTTTAAAGATACTCTTCTCAGGTATCTTCTTTTATAGTTTATAGCCACTCTGAGAATTAAAGGAAAAGTCAAGCCAAAGAACATAATGACCTCTCAAGAAAAAGCTCCACAAATGTATGAGAATGCAATTTACAGTTTTTTTTATATAACTTTTCATTCTCTAGATATTCAACTTTTAATCAGTATTATGCAGTTAGCCATCTTGATTCTAGATTCTGAGGCAAAGGATTCTGAGTAAAATATGACATCATAGAATCTGTTGTCAGAAATTGAGAAAATGATTTCATACTTTGCTGAAAAATCAAGACGGCGGACTACATAAATTGAAGAAAAGTTGAATATTTAGAGAATGAAAAGTGATATAAAAAACTGTAAATTGCATGTTCTTACATTTGCCAAGCTCTTTTATCTGAGGGTAATATGTTGTTAGCCTTGACTTTTCCTTTAATCAAACAGTCATTTTAGCAAAATGTTATTGCACCTTTATATTGACACACGCTCAGTTTAGATCATTCAATTATCATACTACATGAGCGCAAAGTGCAGTTTTTGAAAATGAAAAGTATAAATAATCAGAACATATGAACAGGTTATTTTTGGAGGGTTTTTATATTTCTTGAATTACATACAATGTAGATAAATAAGAAATGAAAAATATGATATAGATATTGAATATGTACAATGTACACATATGCAAATCATAATGATGATCACCCTATGAAATCACACACAGCATGCCATCTGTCAAGCGACAACATTATGTCTAAAACAATGTAAATGTCGAAGTGTTTTGCACAGTTACGAGTCACCTTGTTAACTGACTGTTCAAGTTATTCTCAGAAAGGCTGTAATGGTGTTTTTGAACTACGGTACTGTATTTGACGTCATGAAAATAAAAATCTGGAAAAATTTAATGATTTGCTTATTTTTGATTCAAAATTATGAATCTTTATGAATTCACGCATTGTTGGATTAATGAAATTAAATACAAATTTAGACGCAATAAAAATAAATGAAATTTTAATATTCATGATTTACAATGCATTTTCCACAATTTGCATATCTTAACACTGTCAAATTATGTCCCATAATAAACACCTGTCCAGTAAATCTAAAATTACCATCCCAGAATGCACCTTAAAAGTGGTTAATAATAGTACTAGTTTGAACCAGTCCAAACCAGATTTTATTGGGCTAGCAATTGGCTAACTGAGTGACACGTCCATGTGAATTTTAGTATTAATGACTTACTTTGTGATTTTAATGGAAACAAGTCAATAACATGCAAAGTTCTCACGACATCGGCTGGATCTAATTCGCCACACTCCCCTCTGAATCTGTCAAACACAGAAAATAGTTCTCTGTTGACAAAATAAAGGTGAATAATTTATTTAAAACAGAAATTTCTTGAGGTTATTGTTCAAAAATGAGCTAATTTTAGCCTAAATATTTATGTAAAATGAAATACATTCTACTCATCTCACTAAATTTAGTATCTTCATGTTAAAATAGTATAACACAAAACACACTTAATGCAAATTATGAAACTATGCATAATTATTCTTTTTGATTAGCTGTTTTAAATTCTGAAGAAAAACCTTTGCATACCAGAATTTTGTTTGCATTTTGCAATCCAAAATGGCCTCTGTTGTAGGTTACTGGTCATTGTTTCTATAGAAACCAGTTCAGGTACCTTCAATTTTTATTTATTCTTTGTTATTTATTTAATCCTTTCACTCAACAAAATTTAATTTTTGGTCGAAAGTTAATAACCATATTATAGAAAAATAAATGATAATGTGCAAAATATTGCACCAACATGACAAAATATATAACATTCAAAACTTAAATTTTAAAACAGTCACTTGAAAATTTGTGGTTTTGGTCAAAATTGACAGATATTTTATTTTAATGGTGTACTGTATAAGAAAAAAAATTACTATTTCTTAATCATATTAACATTCTATCCCTGTGGTATTTTACAAACCACCTGTCTCAGATAAAATATTCCGACCTCATGGAATAAGAATTAAATCTTTGAATGCTAATAATTTTCCCCACTTTAATATTAGTACAATTTGTATATATTTTTCTATAATGTATTTGACAACTTAAATAAAAATAATCCAAATGCCTACAGGTCTAAAATGATACAGGATTGTTATCTCTATTCCACAATTAAAATTAAATCTACCTCAGTTAGAAGAAACTACAACTGCACATTCAAGTGTGTGTGATTTTGTGTCATGTTTGATATTAATGAGTCATAGAGAAATGTACAATTATCTGTTATTTGGAATATACCGGTAGTATTGTTCTAATAAAAGCATGTGAACCTACTCAATATATGACTGAGGAGCGACTATGATCAAAATAAGTCATATCCGAATAACCTCAGTATACGTAAATATACTGAAACATGTATTAGAAACTGAGAAGGGTAGACATACCCAACCCAAAATACCTTTAGAAGACAGAATCTGTAAGCAATGTTCTCAGATCAAAATTGAAAATGAAGAACATTTCTTCATGGAATGTCTTAGGTACCAAACGGAAAAACAAAAGTTATTTAATAATATCAATATTCCAGAAGAATTGAAAAATGATGACCAGATATTTAAATATATTATGAGTTCAAGAGAAGACGTACTAATAAGACAAGTTGGTGAATACTAATAATAACAATAACTAACATTTTACTTTTACTTTAATTTTATATGTATTGTACTTTATTACTAACATTTTATTGCTGTCAACCAATGGAAATTATTTCTAAGGATGCAATAAATTCATTATTATTATTATTACATGTATTATAAAATTAATATAACTGTTTGTTTAAAAGCACTTCTATTGGAGATGTGCTTCTAAGCGATAATAACAGCTCCCAAACTGCCCAAGTCAATTTACAGTTGCAATATTGAACAATGAAACCACAGTTACAAGTTTTCATTTATCACGACATTAAGAAACATCAATCTGTTTTGTCTGCGAGCTTTTATTCAGTGGGTTTATAGTTATAGAAACCACAATAGATGATGTCTACATCCTACATACATAACGATCTCAGATGAAAGAGCTCCACAAATGTTGGAGAATGCAATTTAGTTTTTTATATCACTTTACATTCTCTAGATATTCAACTTTTCATCAGTATTATGTAGTCCATCATATTGATTCTCCTGCAAAGGATTATGGGTAAAGTATGACATCATAACCACTGTTGTGAAAAATTAAGAAAATTATTGCATCTAAATGTATAACTTGAGAAATAAATTGCATTCTCCAGTATTTATGGAGCTCTTTCATATGGAAACCTTATGTTGTTTGTCCAGACTTCCCCATTTAAGAAACACTTCAACCAACATGTACCATTATTATTAAAATTATCGATTGTGTCACCCTACAAATATGGTGAACACTTCAATAATGCATGACAGCTGTGAGAATACATTATTGTATGATATAAAGGGTATGTAACTTTCATAACGATGAGATGTGATGAAGATTTCATGAAAAGGTGAATACTCATGCTTTGTAAGTATTTGAAAGCTACCTCATATACCATGCATGGTGTATTGCTAATGAATATCATCACAACATGTAATTATAACTTGGTAAGGTTCAATTGCATAACAGATGATTAGATTATTAATTGCTGTATCCAAACACACAAAAGACATGTTGTATCGGTATACGCTTTCCAAATACACAAGGATACTATCAAAAACGATCAGAAATGAACACTAATCAGTTCTTTCACAGACTCACTAATTTACATGAGAATTTCCAGAATTGAAGGTTTGACGATTTTGTTATTATCTCGAGATTCACGTGATTTCTCTAATTCGCATGAGATCTTCATCTCACATCATACATTTTTTGTACAACCTGTATACATACCCGCATTTTATACATCCTTGACAATATTTATATATTAACATATTTCAATTATAATACACTAGAATTATTATTATATATTAATAACTAATATAATATCGACTTTCATTTGAGATCGTCGTTAAATTTCGAACAGTCATATGACATCATTCATGATATCATTCTGGTCCACGCCATCTGCGTAGTTGAATCACAGTCAGACTGTACAGAAATAAGGAAGACATCCGTACGTCTTACCTTGTTATAGGCCCGTAGACGATCGGCGGTTCTGAAGTTGAACAATTTACCGTCTCGACTTGGTGACGATTTTGGTCGAAAATAAAAAGACGGCAAATATACGACAGGACAAACATGTTTCATCCATAGTAGAAGATAGAAGAAATTGCCTCAAAAACGTTTCCCATCTGGCAGAGGTGTTTTCGGCTGAGTAACAACAATTTGCTTGTTTGACCTCTGTATGTTTGTTTCTTGTTTCGTTACTCTTGATTCATCCAATGACATCCGGGTGTCGTACAATCTCGGCAATTAAAACAAGTAATATGTCGAATCTAGAGATTAATAATAATTCTAATTTTATTTATTGAAAACAACAACATGGGACTCAATCGTGGCGACGTACACCATACGTACATTGTTTACACAGATGCCCTCTGATTCTCTCTAGCATAAAGCAAATGCTAAAATATTGGCTTAAAATAAATAAAATGCCCCATAACACACTGGTGGCAGAAGCATTCAGTCTTGGAAACCATTTAGATAGTCAGAATACCCAAAATTGGGTCACCGGCGTTAAAAACATTTTCAATCTACTTGATGTAGATGCCAATGATGACAATATTATAAGCACAGTGTCTGACAAATTAAAAAGTATGTACACTGAACTTGCTAAAAATGAAATGCATGATGACAATAAAGGAAAAA